CTACTCATGGAGTAAAACACATTTCACCAAAGAAATATTTTATCCAACTAACGGATCCCACTAAAATAATTGGTTAAAAGTCGATCGAACTAACTAATTAAAACCAATTTTCCAACAAAAATCCGAAATTCCAAATCGCTAAGCCTAAGCATTTGCATGTGAGTGGTAATATTTAAACTTTAGTTCTCGAATGCAGTGTTGGGAGGGGTGGGAGTGGTTGTGAGTTAGAGTTGCCCATTTCACCCACAAACACGCACACAGAAGTAGCCGAGATGAAGAATTGTGGAATGGATAGTGGGATTTCATGAACAAAGGCCACTATTTGGTGAAATTGAAAGTGGGGATTTGGGGTGATGGCGGTGGCCGACGGTGGTTGATTTTTTGTTTTAATTTGATTTGGAGGTGGGGGAGTGGTGCGGGGATGAAAATGATATATATATATATATATAAAGTGTGTATCTAACGGATTTTGTTGGTTTAACGGAAAATTTAACGGCAAATCTTGTTTTAACGGGGAAAAAATTACGCCGTTAGTTTTATTGTCCATTTCCATTAAACATAATTCCTTTCTCTCTCTAAACTCTCTCCCTTCTTTCTAACCTCTTTTGCCCTAGCGTGTTCGACGGCTCCGTCCCCTTCCCCCCTCAGTTTTCCTTCTTCTCTTCTTTTTCAAGTTTCTGTTGATGCGTCTGCATTTTGTTTGGTGTGGCGGCGTTGTTCGGGTGCAAAATTCCCAGAAATTGATTCCCAGAAATTCCCTTATTTCTCAGAAATTGATTCCCAGAATTCACTGTGAGTTTCTTTCTCTATGCGTGTGGGGGCGAAGAAGAACGAGGGCTTAGTTTGGGGGTTAATGGGGACGAGGACGAGGAACAGAATTCATTCAAGTTTTTAAAAATAAGGCCCAATCCATGGCCATGGTTTTGCTTGCAATTGAAAATTGAATGTGCTGAAGGTGCTTTTGGATCTGTTCATAGAGGCGTATACGATGGAATTGACGTTGCAGAGAATTAGGTCTCAAATTCCTTACCTCTGCCCCTGCCATGGTTACTAACAAATCCCTTACGGATGCTTCATCCC